GCAATTTCTCTATTGGGTTGTTTGAATCAAAACTGAGGCTTTATGCAAGTTTCCCGTATTGAAAAACTAGGAAAAACAACTTTCGTCAGTGCAGACAGGTCGACCGGTTGGGTAGACCGGTCACAGGTCGACCGGTCCGGTCGACCGGTTAGTGAAGACAGGTTGACCGGTGAGTTATAACGTCTCTGTCACCGGTCGACCGGTTGTAACGTAAAATGCATGATGACATGGCAAAATCGACTCTGCTAATTGTTACGAAAGTATGACTTCTTAAACACTATAAATAGCCTATTAAGTCACATTACTCATTAGATCACTTGAGAGACTTTTTGGAGGCTATTGATAAAAGATTCCTGAGAGGAAAAATTGTTTAATTCTCAAGAACAATTTTTTCTTTGGTTCTCTTGTGATTGGAAGGAGATCAAGAATACCTAGAGGAGATTAAACGACGTGTGCCCACCCGCACACCGATTGTGGAAACGAGAATAGCAAAGAAGACCAGTTGGTTGAGGCTCTTCCGGTTGCTGTTTGGAACGCTTAGATCTGTCAAACATGCAGTTTCCTGAAATCTCAAAAGGTATGTTTTAGATCTTTAGTATTTATGTTATATAGCATCATGAACATGTTCTTGTTTGGCTTTGACGTTGATTAAAATTTTTTAAATTCCGCTGCGCACTCGATGCCATTAATTTTCCAACACATACTGCTTGAACTACCTCTTGGACTTGTGTTTGTTAGACTTTGTTATTTGTTTCTAGGCGGATTGAGTTAAATTGGAGTTCTTTATTTGATTAATAAATGCTATATGGATGTTTGATTAGTTAATGCTATATGGATGTTTGATTAGTTAATGCTATATGGAAGATTGATTAGTTCTAGTCATGTTTCTTTTTTTAGGTTAATATGGATTCTGATGCTACAAATAGTGAGGATGATGTCACAATTGTTGACCTTCTTCACTCGTCAGATGATGATGAAGAGCCACAAAATTGTGTCCAATTACTGATGTCGCATACAAACAAACTAACTAGGTAACCTTGTCGTAATTCGACGTTAACTAGACAAGAATATGTTTTAGAACAATTGTATGGACATCCTGAAAATCTGTTCGAAATGTGTCGTATGCACCGAGACACGTTTGAAGCAATTGTTCAGTTAATTCAAGACCGCAACCTATTGCCTTCTTCAAGTATATCGATAGAAGAATCACTAATGATGTTCTTAAGAAGGATTGCTCACTCAGACCGCAATAGAGAGATACAAGATAGATTTTCTCATTCTAGAGAGACAGTACACCGACATTTTACTAATGTGCTTATTGCATTGACTGCATTAGCACCTGAAGTTATAAAACCACCAAATATGAACATCGTCCCCCCAGAGATTCGACACAACTCTAAGTATTGGCCATGGTTTAAGGTACAATCTGACTCTGCCTATAAACTAATAATATGACAAATAATTTTAAATTAATCATAACGCACGCCTTATGTATTTTAATAGGATTGTATTGGAGCAATAGACGATATGCACATAATGGTTGTCCCACCTGCACATCAACAGACAATCTAGAGAGGAAGAAGACATTCGTGTACTCAAAATCTAATGGCGGTGTGTAGTTTCGATATGCTATTCATTTACATCAATACCGGATGAGAAGGATCAGTTGTTGATTTCAGAGTGTTAACTGAGACTATGAGAGATCCAAAGAACCGATTCTTGGTGCCACCCAACCCAAAATATTACGTTGTGGATTCTGGTTATAACAACACGCAAGGCTTTTGGCACTATTTTGTGGTCAGAGGTACCATATTCAACAGTTTATAAATGGTGGCCAACCAACGGGACCACAATAGTTATTCAATTATTATCACTCTTTACTACGTAATTGCATAGAGATGTGCTTTAGGGTTTTGAAAGTAAAGTTTAAAATTCTTAGGCATATAATCAATTATTGGATGTCAAGACAATCACTTATACCAATTACTTGTTGTGTGATCCGCAATTTAATTAAGATGCACGTGCGATATGATCCTCTATTTAGACAATATGATGTCGATTTGCCCTTAGAAGATATTGAGGGAGAACAAGAAGGGCAACAAGGACAACAACAGGGTATGGACGCACAAGAAGCATAAACATCCAAAATGGGGGGTCGGCGACAACGTAATCACATGGTTAATTTTAGAGATTATCTAGCTGATCAAATGTGGGATTCGTATATACGATAGTAATATAAGCTAAGATTATTCACTAAGTAAACTTTTTTTTTTTTACTAATCAATCCCTAAGTTATCTTATTTTAAAATATTTACTATTTATTTGTAATGTAATTTAAATTATTTTATTAATTATTAGTGTTTTTATTTAGGATTTAATTATTATTTATTTAATATATTAAATACTATTACATGTTTTTAAAAATTAAACCACCAAACGCAGTTTCAATTTTTTTTAAAACTGAAATCAATCTCTGAATACGTGCGATATGATCCTCTATTTAGACAATATGATGTCGATTTGCCCTTAGAAGATATTGAGGGAGAACAAGAAGGGCAACAAGGACAACAACAGGGTATGGACGCACAAGAAGCATAAACATCCAAAATGGGGGGTCGGCGACAACGTAATCACATGGTTAATTTTAGAGATTATCTAGCTGATCAAATGTGGGATTCGTATATACGATAGTAATATAAGCTAAGATTATTCACTAAGTAAACTTTTTTTTTTTTACTAATCAATCCCTAAGTTATCTTATTTTAAAATATTTACTATTTATTTGTAATGTAATTTAAATTATTTTATTAATTATTAGTGTTTTTATTTAGGATTTAATTATTATTTATTTAATATATTAAATACTATTACATGTTTTTAAAAATTAAATCACTAAATGCAGTTTTAATTTTTTTTTTAAACTGAAATCAATTTCTGAATAAAACTATCAAACACATTTTTAAAAATAATTTTAAACTAAAAATAAAAAAAAAATTTATTTTTATTTTATACAAAAAATAAAATTATTTTGAAACGAATTCTAAACGCACCAAAAATTTGTCGAAAAAGAAAAAACAATAAGAAATAAGAATCGACAACAAAATAACAACCAAATGAACGGACACGTCTCCCAATATATTGTAACAATTCTTACAGGCGCCACTCACGTGGTTATCTTTCTTTCTTCTTCTTCTTCTCTCTGTTTTTTTTTTTTCTTTTTTTTTTTTAAGAGAGAGAGAGACTGCCTCTACATAGTACCTATATATTTACCACCTAGTATCCAATTTTCCCGTCCTTTTCCCGGAAAACATTTCCATGGCGAATTGGTCCCAACTTCCCGTAGAACTCCTGGAGGAAATCGCCAAACGCCTTGAGAGCTCAATCTATCTGCTCCGCTTCCGATCCGTCTGCTCTTCATGGCGATCCTCCGTCTCTCCCAGGCCTCGCTGTCTACCTGGCCGCTTCCCCTTCCTCCCGAACGACGGAATCTCCGACGCCACCTGGGGTTTCCACCTCTCCAAACGCACCGTCTTCCTCCTCGGGCCTCCCCCAAATCACGACCCTTCGAATCGCGATCTCTGGCTGGTCAAGGTCGAAGACGACGTCCCCGCCAGAATGCACCTCCTCAACCCTCTCTCCAGGTTCCAAATCAAGCCCCTTCCGGAGGATTTCCCGAAGGTACTGGATTCGTCCAGATTTAGGGTTTTTGAATTAGGGCAGGAATACGTTCTTCATTATATGCATTTTAGGCCTTTTGGCAATTCGTTAGGCGATGCTGGTAATCTGTACATGGAAAAGGTCGTTTTCAAGTTTTCGGATTCCGAAACGAGCAGTTTCGCTTTGCTCACGATTCACGTCTCAGGGAAACTGGCCATGTACAAGTCTGGGGATAAGCGGTGGAGTATAATCCACGACATGCCTTCTCCGTACGATGATGTAATACTGTTCAAAGGCGATTTCTTTGCCGTTGATAGTACGGGCCGTGCGGTGCTTGTTGGGTTGTCGTCGAATGTGGCTTTGGTTGCGAATCCGGTGTTTGGTGGGGACAAGAAGTTTTTGGTGGAATCAAGTGGTGAGCTTTTGATGGTTGATATGTACTTGAGCATGGGTCCTCCGGAAGTGGATTTGGGCGATGAAAATGAAGATATTTTTGAGCAGTTTGATGGATGTTTGGGAGAGAGAACAGTGAGGTTCAAAGTTTTTAAGCTTGATAGAGAGGGAAAGAAGTGGGTTGAGGTGAAGAGCTTGGATGATCGGATGTTGTTTTTGGGAGATGATTGCACGTTCTCTGCCTCTGCTTCCGATTTGTCTTGTTGCAGGAATTGTATATTTTTCACGGATAATTTCTTCTATTCCGGTGGTGAAGAAGATGGTGTTTTTAAGGGTCGTGATATAGGTGTATATGACATGGAAAATGGTAGTATTGCGGCTTTGACTGATTATCCGGAGTATTCAAAGTTGTTCTGGCCTCCCCCAGACTGGATTTTGTTGCCCACATCAGGAGTAAGTGTGTGTGTGTATATGTATATATCGTTTCTTCCTTTCACTTTGAAGTTCTGGGTTGATTATACTTGTTAGTTCAGAGGCTTTAAGTTTTTATTTTTATCAAGTTTGCCAATTTGTGCTACGTATTTCATACTCTTTAGACCATATCTTTTCACCATTTGTCGTTAAAATTCTGGTGAATAATCTTGCATAGTGCCAAGCCTATGTTAATCAATGAGGTTTTGACCAGTTTGAATTGGATTGTCTCATGTCTACTCTGATGGCCTACATGAGACGTTAGTATGAGACACATTTTGGCTGTTAAACCGAATGTTACTAGGGCCTTCCCAATACTTACAAGCAACTAATGTCATGTAGGGTATTCTGTTGAGCGATTGATTTTTTATCCTATCCTATGTCAAGTCTTTTCTTGTGTCTGTTTTGTATAGTGTGCAAAGTGCACTATATGTACATGACTGTTGAAACTTTGAGATTCAACATAAGTGGTCGCCATAACCAAGGATTCTATATGGATTGATAGATAAGATACTATTCAAATTCTCATTATGGTAGTCCTGGTTCGAGCTTTTCTGACCAAGCCATAAGCCTAATTGGTTGACTTTGTAGATCCTTTAGCATTTGGCACATTGCAGAAAAATACTGAATATTGGTTTAAAATTGCATGCCCTTTCGCCGTTTGAAGTGCATTCTTGTATAGCAACAGAGTAAATAAGATATCCAAGATTTAAGCAGTTTGATTTAATTGACTTGTATTATGACTGGCTGTGGTCTTATATTCTGCCAGGCACATTCTTGGTCTTGTATAACTGTCATAGTATATTTATTTTGGTTATTTACTTATTGAAGGCAATGTCAAGTGACTTAGTAGAGGCAACCCAGGTGCAAGCTCAATTTGAAGAACTGGCCTTGTGATTTCTGTGAAGTGGAAGTTGCTGTCCAGGTGTTTTGGCCGCCCAAATGGTAAATCAATAGTCTAATTGCCAGTCAATTGATTCGCAAATTAAGGCCTTGACGTCTTTTCAGCCTAAGTAATGTTTCATCAGAGCCTTCCCAAGCGCCCAAAAGAATGAAATTTTGGCATAAATTAAGCGCTGACGTTCTAGTTCCCTTCTTCTTCTTCTTCTTTGTACAGCAATCTTTTTATATGTTCTCTCTAGTAAACAAATTTCACATTTTTTTTATGTACTTTATTGCTTGTACATAAATAAATATTTTAATTATAAATCATTCCAACTAGATGTATACTTTTTTCAAGCTTGTTCCTGTGCATGTGGTTAATGTCAATCAACCTTGCTCTTCCCAAAATTACATGCCAAGATATGATTTAGGTGTTGTTTGGTTCAAATATTTTTGTTATGTACATAATTTTGTTTTTGAATAATCGTGGTGTCCAAAACTTTATCCTGACTAATCTATTGGATCCATGCAAAGCGGTCCCTCCATATGGATCAGATAAATCTCGGGCCTTTGGCCTGCAGGCATGGCGTCAATGAATTGTTAGCACTCGATGGGAATCAAAAAGTTTGAACTTTTGTTAGTGTTTACTACTACAAAAAAGTTTGTGTTCAAATTTTCGTTTGAACCGCAAGACAAAACGGCATAGAAATAACTTGTGCTCATGCTAAACGGTCAAGGGTAAATTAAAATGTTTGATGAAAGTCGAGAATTGCGTTCCATAATAACTTGAAAGGATTGGAATTCGGAAGTTTGCATATATTGTAGGCATTATGTAATCGAGGAGAGAAGTTCTATTCATATTGGCTGTCCCAGAAAATAAAAAAATAAAATCATAATTAAGAACCAGATAACCAAAACCCTTGATTGGAGCAACTGAGCAGTAGGAAATGGACGGGAGAAAAGTTTTCACAGTAGCATTTCATATCCCAGAAAATAAAAAAATAAAATCATAATCAAGAACCAGATAACCAAAACCCTTGATTGGAGCAACTGAGCAGTAGGAAATGGACGGGAGATAAGTTTTCACAGTAGCATTTTGAGGGTACATAACAAACATAATAAATACTTTCATCTATAACTTGATGAAAAGCCATCGTCAAAACTTTAACCTATTCTAAATCTACTGCTAAACAATGTACATGCTTTACCCACCAATATATACCACCGAGAACCACAAAGCCAGTTCTGTGATTTCGTTGACAACATCGATGAACTTCAGATCAATGTCAACTAGGATGCTAAGTAAGTTACTTTGTCTCAATCTCGCTCGGGAGCGTCTCCACTAGAACGTCTTGCACTTAGGTTCCCAGCATACGACCACACCCTCTCAAATTCCGCAGCAACCAATTTTTCTGATTTGTGCTCTGGTGTTTCCTTAAAGTAGGTCTTTTTTAGAGGGAGAGATGTCCTTCCAGGACTTCCACTGACCGGTGTTGAAGAAAACAAAGTCGGGGTTGCAAGCGGAGAGGCATAAGGAGTGTGATGTACGGAGAAAGGGCTTGGAGACATCCTCTTCTGGATAGGAAGACCACCCAAACCTCCTCTGCTGAAGAGAGGCACTGATTCTGCTGCAGCACATCGCCTCACAGCGTCATCAACATAGAGGATATCATCGATCCTGGCCATTACGTTGAAGGCCAGACTCTCCATCACCCTTGAGTAGCTCTCGAGAATTGACTGCCCAACATCCTGCGAGGAGAATGAGAATTCTTCTTAGCAAACATAAATCCTACGAAAGAATTTCTAGTATTGACACATACGAAAAGGGAAGATAGTTGGTTAAAGACATACTTTGTTGTACTGAATTTTGTTCATGTCCAGAGCAGTCTGTGGGAGACCAGGAAAACGATGTCTCAGGCTATGTAAGAGTGTTTCTGCTCGTTGGGATAGCAACAGATTTTTCTCTTTATCAGAAACAAAGCCTTTAACTTTACCACCCCACGTTGAGCGCTTCTTTCCTTTTCCATGAGTAGACTGTTTCCCGTGGTCTTTTTGTTTCCAGATGTGCACAGCTGCTTCAATCCTGTTAGCTATCTCCAGAGTCTGATGTTCGGATGAGAGATCCAGACAATCAAGAAGACATTCTGGCGAGAACTGTTCAGCTGTTACATACCGATAAATGATATCCCCAAGACAAGCTTTTCCACTCTGATTTCAATAGGCCAACAGATAAAGTCAGCCCTTCATCGATTGTGCATAATTTGCTTCTCTAAAATTCAATACGTGCAACAACCCTACGTTTTTTATTTTTCAATCTCCAAACAATGATGTCTTACTAATACAAAGCACATGTACAAATAATCTTTATACTGCAACGAAAGATAAATATTTGTGTCTCAATAACGTCGAGACTGTAGGATACAGGTTTAATTAGATGCTCAAATTGTGTACCTTGGGCAAAGACTCCAAGTATGCTCTGGGTATCTCCATTTCCGCAAGCACACTATTATTAATCGCCATGGCAGCCTTTAGTATCTGGTTGGTACAGTCCCTACATTGCTGCAACCTCTTCCTGGCATCCTCAGACAACCCACTCGGGGGAAGTTTTGGACAGGGCAGCCACCACTTCTCTTCCTGCCTAATCGAAGGCCTACCACCAGCCATACCATATGCATCGCCATCACCAGAATCGCCAAACACTATACCACGATCTACATAACAGAATTCAGTATCGCAAAATCCATCAAGCATGCTTAGAAGCATCGCGTCAAGCTTTTTCAGGGCAGGGAGGTTAATGTACAAGTCCGAGCGGGGTCGAGTCGCCATGACCTCAAACGTGCCTCCACCGGGGAACTGCTGTATGGAAGGCACAAGCTCAACAATTGAATCACTCACGCATAGAAGCCACTCCATTTCTCTGCGCCACATTGCCTTCTTCTGTGGGGCAAGAGGCTCTAGCCTCCATAGCTCGCCAAACACAGTCGCTGAAATTCCAACCCATAAAGTTGAGTTCAGAAAAAACAGAAAATTATGCTCGCATTTGCATAAACACAACAATATAAACCTTTATACTCAGAGGCATGGAGATTAACCAGAAAGATTGGTTATGGCATTAGAAATGGCGAGTGCAGTGCAGACTCCTTTTCCACCTCCAGACATATCTTCTCCAAGCAGAAGCTTAGCAAACCTCTCCTTCATCATCTCAACCTCTGCATATTTACATAATAAGATCATCAATAAAATGTGTTAAAAAAAAACCTAGTTTTGTTTAGCAATTTTATCCAAAAATAGAATAATAATTCCCCATGAACTCCCTCCAGTCTCTAACTTTTACTGAATCTTTTTTCCCATGAACCAAACAACCAAAAAAAAAAATGAAAGATCTCAAAGCTGGGACGTTTGTTTCTATATTCGTCTCTGATCCTGATCCTGAATCATTCATAATTTTCTACAGTATTTTCTCTCAAAAAACGAGAATGGTTCTAAATGATTCTGAATAACCAAACGTCGTTCCTCATTTTGCAGAACAAACCAAAGTTAAGAAATTGGATAAAAATTAAATACCAGACAAATCAGCCTCTCGCCTCTTCGGCTTATCGGCCCAGCCGACAACGTCCTTCCCTCCGATCAACGGAAGCATTATCGGCGTCGGAAACAAGAATTTTCCTGCAACAGGAGGGCGAGGAGACGACGTCATCGAGCTGGAAGCTCCCTCGCAATCGAACCGCCGGCACGAGAAGCTACTGCAACTCTCGGACTCGCTGACGTCGGCGCTCAGGCTGTAGCTGCCGCACCGCTCGCTCTGCTGGTCGGAGCCGTCATCGGAGGACACGCTTCCCATCGCTGAAACAGATCCAACAATGCCGCCAACAACTGCCGACAGATCTCAGGCGCACATTGCCTCCCGTGAGGCTCACCGCACCAGATTCAGACGAGAATTTCCCTCCTCGGTTCTGCAAAAACAAAAAACAAAAAAGAAAAAAAATCTCCAGAGAAGAGAGGAACGGAAGAAGACGATAGACAGTTGACAGTAGTGGTAGTGGTGGTAGTGATGATTGAGTGGTAAAGCAGAATTAGATAAAGCAACTTCAGGCTTTACTGTTTTTATTTTTTCTCTCTCTTCTCTCTCTTCTAAAATGCTATTGCCTTGCCTATTGGTTTTTTGTCACCAGTACTCCAGATGAGGAGCCATGAGCTAAACTGCTAAAAGCCTCCAAAAGCAAAAGTGACGCCGTCTGGGGGGGGGGGGGGGTTTTTTCCGGAAACAGTAACAGCACCCGACAAGCTGCCCTTTTCCCTGGGCCCCACACTTCCGTGCTACACCTACATTTCTTTATGACGTGGCGGCTTTTTGCTGACGTGGGTGGGGCCGTTGTGGGGCCAGGCCGTTGATTTTGGGTTGGGATAGAGGGAATTCCAGGGTTTTGCGTGGGAAGAGACGAAACGGCGGTTAGTTTTGTTTTCTTTTGTTAATCCTTCGCGCGGAGAAATGGTTAGTAAACGGACGTTTCTAAATTGATCAACCGTGGGCTCGTCTCCCCAAGCGTTCGACTAAGTTAATGCTTTATTTTGATCGCATCGTTGTCAGCGGAAATTATTGAAAATGTTTTTAATAAGCATTTTTAAACTGCAGTGTAATATAAATCTTGTGATTAAAAAGTTCAAACGTTGAGTACTGCGAGGACTAGGATGATCTCGGGCCGTTGATGCTGTTGTACAATAACAACAAATAAAGATGGATAGGTCCCACAGGAATTTTCCCTCGTTGGAACGAATCTTCATATTGTGTGGAGTAGAAGTATTCGGGATATGTCCTAACTCCTAATACAGTAATATACATATACGACTTATATTATTTCATTAATACACTATTTTCCAAGTTGACATTATGATTCTCATTACCTTAGATCCAACACATTGAGAAATGGTTTTGGCAAGAAAAAAAAAAAAAAAAAGAAGGAAAACCAAAATCTCTAAACACGTGTCATTTCGTGATTTGACGCAATATTCTTTGCTTGAATTGATTTAAATCTCAGCCAATGATCATCCAAGAGATTGGAAATCAGCCAAGATTGGGATGATGTTTTGGATCATGTGTGAGGCCACCATAGCCTTTCATGGTGATCCACGTGAAGAACCTGTGGGCCCAAGGCGAATAGGTCTGCTTGTCGGCTGCACTATGGGCCATGCACAAGAAGCCTAGGAAAGCACTTTGCGTGCACGATCCATTTTCTTTTTTAATATTGATAAATACCTTTCTAATTATTTTCATTTCATTTATGGGTTTTTTGTTTTAGCAAAATCAAGACCGTTGATCTGTGACACATAAAAACTTGCTTGGTTGTCAAGGTCGCTGATTTTCTTGTAAAAGATTATGTTGACCGCCTATTTATTCTAATGAGCATTAATGTCGCCTGTATAATTTTCGCAATATTAATGAGTATTAATATGGCTTGTATTATTTTATGGCCTGTATTTATTTATTTACCACTTTGTGACTTCGAAATGCGTAGTCAATGAAATTAGTGATTAGTGATTACCAAGAGGCTAAAAAGGAATTATCACTAACAATCCCAAAGACGTTTTCGCCTTGGGATATATAAGTACAATTAACGAGTGTTGTGCAATAAGCATGCGCAAAAAGTTGAGCCGGCTGATTAAACGTTCAAGATTCAGGCCTAATTACATCAATTCATAATGCAATTTTTCCTTGGTCCACTGCTTTAATTTGAGTAATTTTGAGTTCAAAGAGAAAGTATTACTTTTTTTTTTTTTTTAAAAAGGAAAGTTCAAATTATTACTTCGAGAAATGTCGTTAATATAATTTTATTGGAGGCACGTTTCTAGGAAGGACAATCTAAGCGCTTGCCCAAATTTGTCACATTATGCTATTGATGACCAAGAACAAACAAGAAAGTGAAACTTCTAAAGTTGTTTCGATGATTATGCCCCATTTGATTTTGTAAGTTTTTTTTTTTTTGTTTTTTTTTTCCTTTTATTTCTTCACTAACTCTGTTAATACAAATGAATGTCATAATTAGGGCATCTTTTTAATGCTGATTTCCAGTGTCATTTTAAGAGCAAGTTTTTTCTTTTTCTTTCTCTTTTCTTCCCCCCGAATTTAGTACCTGTGCGGTGGAAATTGAACCCTGTATAAATCTTAACGATAAAGGAAAGGACGTCGCATGAAACGAAAGGAAAACGACAGTCTTCCAATAAAAGGGTATTGAAATAGTACAAGAATACCTGTTTAAATAATTTGAACATTTTTTTTTTATTATAAAAATCGCAAATATTCCAAAAATGACGATATAACAATTCATTTGCCACCGATATACTAAACAAAAGAAAGTTTAAAAAAAAGATATTGAGATTTATAATGCTAATAACAAGATAAGAGGAGAGGAGTGTATTTATTTAACATAATAGATTTAGTTAATCTTCAAAAAAAAAAAATAGATTTACTTAAATTTGTGAGGGTTCAAAAGACAGTCACTTATTCTGATGAAACTTTGATACGTTAATTAGAGATGTTTATTCAATCCAATTCAAATTTTAACTATATATAATACAATTGTCATGACAAAATAATATATAATCAAATTCGCACTTAATACGTTAATTAATCCAATCCAATTCGTATAAGTGCAGACATAAATCGTTTTGTTTTAAAAAGAAAAATTTCATTAAAGAAAACCAAAAATTACAATGTGAACGATTCTACAATATAAGGCTTACTAATTCCACCTGTACAAATAAATGACAAATATAGAGTAAGATGCATGCAGAGAAGCCCGAAACAGGAGTACTTGAGCGCACAAATAAAGAGCTCACATAAAGCTCTTTTATTAAAGTTCTACAATGGACAGAAACAACAATCAATTAGGTGGGGAGACCACCTCCGGAATAACAATAAAAAGGCAAGGAAAAAGACACACTAGAACCAAAACGACAAACATCACCCCATTTATTAACAAAGACCACCTCCGGAATAACAATAAAAGGCAAGAAAAAAGACACACTAGAACCAAAACGACAAACATCACCGCATTTATTAACAAAAACAAAACTAATTGTTATTTTATTTTGTTTATTCGAGTTTTTAATTTAAATTAAAATATAATTTTATATAAAATTATTTTATTATAATAAAAAAATTAAATATAATTATTTTAAGAATTTTTTACTGTAACAAAATTTGAATCGGTAAGCTTAAAATAAAAGAGTGAACCTAAAAATAACAACGAAGACTACGGTGACAAGACGACCGCCGCCGAGGAAAGGCGAGAGAGCCGCATCACGAGGACACAGTAAAGCACAGATCCGCCGCCCCACAGAGACCTACAACACCATGGGGAAGAAGACCAATTGCTGGAAAACACTATTAGCCCATGGAAGGAACAACCGCCACTCCAAACCACTCATCTGTTGAACAGCCACACACTCAAACCACAGGGACAACGACGTTTGGGTTGGATTGAATTTGAATTTTGATCAATCCGTTATTTTTATACTATGCAGATTGGATTGGAATGATTTAAAATCGATTTATTAAGTATTTGTAATTTTTGGACCGTCTGTTCTTGTTATACCCATGGATGGATAATATAATATTGACGAAGGTGGAAATTTTGGTGCTTTGATTTCAATGGAAATAGCAATATCAATAGAAATTGAGATGAATTTTTTACTAAGATGTCAAATTTTTGTATCAAACTTTGAGAAATTCTAAAATAATTAATAATACACAAATAAGATGAAAGCATCAACTACGGATTTTATTTCCTTGTTTTCTTGCCATGTTACCAAATACAGACGTGTTACTCCTCCAATTCAGGCCTATGTATAATCTCTTCAAGAACTTTTGATTGGGCTAAATACGGGGCTCAGATTGGGCCTATGGGCTTTTTATGTCTTCATTGGGCTTTTTCTCACCGACGTTACGCGAATAATCTTAATAAATACTATTTCAATCAAAATTATTAATTAAATAATTACATTAATAAAAAAATATTTAAAGAGTAAATGAAGAGGCTCATGCCCCGGAGAATTCTCCATTTTTTCACAGCCATATGAAAAAAGGAAAAGAGCAGAAACCGTTTATTTGTAGTCAGTGAACTATCTCGATTCGCAGAGTTTCTCATCCTCTGGAAACTTCGTTACACCCTTCAGATTTTCCGATCATCTCGAATTGCACCATCGTCGTCTCCGTAGGGTTTCGGAGTGTACGCGAGCGACGATGCCGAAGAAGATGGGCGTCAACAGTAAAGCCGAGGAGGCTAGGGCTCGCAAGAGCGCCGTCGAATCGGAGCGAAAGCAGCGGGAGACTCGCGAGAAGGAGGACCAGTACTGGCGCGAAGCCGAGGGCGCGAAGTCCCGCGCATCGAAGAAGCGAGAGGAAGAATCCGAGAAGCGAGCCGAGGCCGCCGCGCGCCGGGCTGAGGCCCGCCGCTTGGCGGAGCAGGAGCAGAAGGAGCTCGAGAAGCTGACGAAGAAGCCGGACAAGAAGGCCAATCGAGTCTCGATCCCCGTCCCCAAGGTCACGGAGGCGGAGCTGAAGCAGCGCCGCGAAGAGGAGCAGGCGGCTCTGCAGAAGAGAAGCGAGGAGGCGAAGAAGCAGCAGAGCCGGACCGCCGCGGAGGAGGAGTACGAGAGGATGGTGCTGGTGACGAACACGAATCGCGACGATTCGATAATCGAGGCAAGGACGGTGGAGGACGCGGTCGCTCAGATGACGGTGGCTGATAACTTACCGGTGGATCGGCACCCGGAGAGGAGGCTCAAGGCTTCGTTTAAGGTGCGAATTTGATAATTGATTATTGTCGCTGTTTCCCCCCCCCCCCCCCCCCCCCCCCCCCCCCCCCCCACAACGCCGCACCCGCCTCCTCCG